CACTCGTTTTACTTGCCAGTTACAGTAAAAGACGCGTGAGTTATTAGAAATGACTTACCGGATCCAACAATGTATGTCGCACCATCCGTAACCTGCTTCTTCAATTAGTCGCCGTGCTTCTTGTCTACGCTTTCCATCGTCTTGCGACTGTAAGAAGAAATAAAATTATGGGAAGTCGTAGATAAATTGATGAGAGCTGTCGACAACTGGAGAAAAAATATATATTGCTAAAAATTACAATTCCGGTTGAAAAAGCTGCCGCGGATGGATTCTCAAGCATTTGACGAGCTTTCTTACGTAACTCTTCCTTTTTCGTCGGACTAGTAGAACGTCCCTGAAAGAAATTCACACTTATATACAACTTGGAATAGTGGCTGCTTGCCTGTTTATCGCCACCGTGCACCCCGTACTCATTGTCAGATCAATCAGGGGAGTATGACCTTAGTGGGGAGTTACCCTCAAAGCGTGTACGGCAGTAGTGATGTTGAAACAATTAGCAACGGTAAAGCCTCACTTTCAGATTGTTAACCATTTGGATTCCGAATGAGTTCATGGGCCGTATTCTAACCTTCCCCAGGGGGACGCGCCCGCGCCGCGGTCCATCCTAAGCCTCAGGGGCAGGGTTGCGTCATAGGATCCGCAATTGAACGCGTGATGTTAAAGCTACCCTCCTTATTGTGGCACTCTTTTCTCTGAGAGATCGCGCTGCCTGAAAGCTAGAAATGCAGGGAAATGGCTGGCCCTATGACGCAACCCTGTCTCCCATAACCATAGGATAGGATCAGCGGCGGAGAACGCATACGCCAGGGGAAGGATAGGATATGGCCCCACGTGTGCAAGATTCAATCGAGGCACAAGTATACAAGCAAGATTAAAGCTGATCAGTCATAAAGAATTTGGTACAAAAACAGGCGACCAAGGATCGACTAAAAACATTGTTTTCATTCAAAGGGTTCAAAATGGGCTCGCTACACGTTTGACAACTGATGGCATACAATTGTAAAAACAGAATTTCTATGTGGTTACAAGCAATCGAACAACAAACGCTGAGGGACTGGGTTTTTAATAGAGCGAATGGAATGGTAATTGAACAAATATTGAGTACAGCTGCGCAGTTGGTCTGTTACCCAGTGCATGTTTTTAACCGCCGCGAATAGTTTTGAGCATGTTAGCAGCTATTAATACAGAATTCCAAGGATTCGCTTTTCTACCTTAATTATCTTCAAATACTCTCCAGTTGGTCTACATCTATGTAATTAATAATTAATCTAATAATTATGTAATGATTAGTAACCGGTGCTACATCATCGATAGACTCTTACTCTATCGAGGGAATACCCCTCTCGGTTGTTGAATCTGTTAGAGACCTTGGTTTTCATTATAATAATAAACTAGACTTTTCTGAACATATTAAAATGAAAGTCAGAACAGCTCACTTACGCATATTTCGAATTTTCAAAGGGCTAACCTCGGCTAATAAGAATGCATTGCTGCATGCCTACAAATCCTACGTGAGACCATTGGTTGAATCTAGCACTACGGTATTCAATACCTCAAAGAAGAAGCACATATATACAATTGAAAAGGTTCAAAATAGTTTCACTCGCAAATTGTTTATAAGAATAGGTGGTTTTGAGTACTCCAACATACCAAATGCAATCAATAGGAATAGCTCTTTGGGTCTGACATCTTTGAAATTTAGGCGCAGAGTTTTTGATCTCTGCTTAAGTTCAATTAAGACCTGAACAAGTCATTCTGTTTTGTCAGTTTACCAATGTCTTCAGATGACACGATTCGAGACCTTAGGCCACGGGCGTGCGTTCGCGGGGCGGGGACGGAGGTTCTATGAAAATCTCCTTAACGCGACCTAAAACTAATCTACGTGCCAAAAGCTTCACGTATAGAGCTGGCAGTGATTATATAAACATTGCAAAGAACATACCGGTTACTCTGTCACAAGCTCAGTTCAAGCATCGTATAGTCACAATACTGAGGAACCAAGAGTCATAGTTTTGTGAGACTGATTCCGAAGTTACCTGTTTTAGTATTTGAGTTTTTTGTTTATAAGCACACTGTTCTTTGTATATGCTCATTCTTTTCACGTGTGCCTTTTGCAGACGTAATAAACTTATACTTATACTTATTACTTATATTTGGTTTCTTAATGTGGTTATGTGGTCTTCTGGTTACGCGTTCTTATGTCCAAAACCTTGTCAAACTAGCGCTGCTTGTCTTCTCGTCATGATAATTGAAATGCGTGCTAGCTAGAAATACATTATGGTATAATTTAAGAAAAAATGGTACTTAAAAAAAGTGTCCACTCCAAATGAACCTTTCAAACTACGCTCTGGAAACTTTTGCAACTTTAAAATTTAAAATAGCGGTACGGCAAAAAAAGAACAGACCGATGAACGGAAGGTTGGAAGAGCTGGAGTGACCATGGGAACAGACAAATCGTGGTAACGGAAAGAGCTAGAAAGAATCCACTTTTGTATTTGATATTGCTGCGAAGGAGAATGTATAAGCAAAAAATTGATTTTTTCTTAGAACTCAACAATCTTCATTTTCAGGCCATCTCCCTTGATAGGTCTGACATGATCACATGCTTTCTGATTCGGCCTACGGATGAATCAACCTGAGCAAATAAACCTATGCTCAATCTTTACATATCTATTAGAAGGATAACTCATAGGGAACAGGAAAGTACAAAACACATACACGCGAAGGAAATTTCTATTTACCTGTTTCCCAGTTGCTGGGACTCTAGACCGTCCATCATACTGACCACCATGATCCTAAACATCCCAGCGTAAAATACTTTTATAGAAAACGACGATCTTCAGTACCACAAAATACACGTGCCTGAACGTTGCTATAGTCAACAGCTGAGTCTGCTTCGCGCTGTTCTTTGATTTTATTGATTTCGTCAATAACTGAAAACACGAACTGCTTCGAAGTAGTGGGATGAACAAAAGAGCAACTACCTTTTTCTCCGCCTCTGATATATGATAGAGCTGCGAAATTCTATGATCTGATGATGATATTGGAGTTTTGGGCAAAAAAAAAAAAAAAAAAAAAAAATAAAAAAAAAAAAAACAAAAAAAGAAAAAGTAAAAAAAAAAAAATGTCGAGTTCGTGCCCTTTAGCACGCGGACGAGGCTACAACACTGTAGAGTAACGAGCCAAAGATTAAGACAGAGATCATACGAAATTCAGCTTGAAGAAGCTTTCAAGGAGTTCCTGGAAGCCCTTTCAGAATTTCCAAGGAGATAGGAAATTTCACCATTTATAACACCCCCTCCCAACTCGACATAGAAAGAGGACAGGAAATGAGGATGCTGAAATGCCATACCTAATCCTGACTGCAATTTGCACGAAGACAAAGCCTAACAGCAGAGCTTGCTCGAGAATAAATGCGAATGTCACTTATTATAAAAGAGACAAATTGGTCTTGCGCTAGGAACTAACATAAGCGTGCTTTCGAGTTAAAACAACATTAATCACTCTGGACTCCGATTCTGAAACCCACACGTCAATTCCCAGTTGACCATGGACACTAGATGGCAGAAATAGTAGCTTCGAATTGATCACATTTTACTGTCATTATTGAGATGGCAATAACTTCTTATAGATAGCTGCATTTTATATCTTCTTGCAGCTTTTCTTGGAACTTTATCTCTTAACGTCCATAAATTCTGGCAAGGGTGATTTGCTAGATAGCCGCCACTTTCAACTGCACGCTCCACTGCGCCGAATCAACTGAATTTACGTCCCCTTCAATGAGCCACACGCTTGGCTTTTTCACAAAGCATATAAAATTATCAAAGCCTACACTATCCAGTCATATGAAACCCCGGACAAGAATCCAGCTTCGTTTGACATGAAAAAGCGAAATAATTCATTTTATATGTAGAAAATAGGTGTGCAATTATCTTGTCATAAATAGTACGAATGTAAAATCACCGTTCAAGGAGAAGTCTAATGATTTTGCTGTCAGGTGTGAGAATGTCGTTTTCATCCGGAATGTCATTAACTCCCATCGCTCTTGCCACAACTAAGGCCTGGAAAAGCACAACTCTAACAGAATTGAGGTGAGTATAACCCACAGGTGTGGTATGAGCGAAGCGACAAAAATATAATCACACATAATAAAATGAAATAAACGAAGAAATAAATGATGAGGAAATATATTACACAAATGAAAAAATAGATAAAAAAAAATATACAACACAAAGCAGTGAAGATAGCAATTGAAAAATAGGGATTCTAACTATGAATCGAGGCAAGAAAGTATTTCATACAACACCAACCTTTTTCACATTCGTTTTTCTGCCATTCATTGTTTCAGAGAAGTCTAAAGCATCATAGTCTCCTGCCAAATCTGGCCTGTAAGAGTGAAGCAGCGCATTTAGAGCCAAACCACTTCGCCACGACTTTCTGGAAGCATTTTCGATTTAGTTTAATTCCTGTGGTCTAAGCTTTAGATGACTCACGTAAAATCGTTAACTTTCACTCCATGATACCCGCTCGTAACTCGCTGAGCCCAGGCTAACAGAGCTTCTCCCTCCACTCGCTCAGGAGCGCGCTCGCGAGATGGTACTCGCGGAGAATGGGACCTACTGCAATAGAATTAGATAATTGTCAAACAGTAAAAATCATAGATAACAAACCCGATGGTCTTCGGTGACGGAGTCTGGCCAATGATAAGCTGAGGAGGTGTCACCTGCACAGGATGCGAATTCTCGTCAACCTAGAAACAGCCTGAATGAACGATTGTTGGTAAGGTTCTCTAACAATGCTTACTTCGAAGAAAGACAATGTAGGCTTGGTGGAAGAGGTTTCACGTTCTTTTGATGCTTTCTCTTCACTTGACACTCGCCAATGCGGCCGAACTCCTCCAGCAGCATCGTGGCCAGCGGATGATTCGGACTCTTGAAACATTATAATAGAGTGAATGAAAAAATCAACTAAAGCAGAACAAACTGCACGAAAACATATAATACCCCTACCTTGTCGTTGTGGCTGAACAACGTTCACTTCACCAGTGAATGAATCAGTCTTCGAGCCAGCGGCTTGTTGTTGTATACCGGGAGTACTACGATTGTCAGACTGTTCCGCCTCTTCTACAGCAATAGGCGCTGTCTTCGGGACCTTCTTTGTGTCCGAAGACCATGACTGGCTTTGAATTGTATTTACAACGAGAGCCAGTTCTTTTTTAGCATCGCCTGAACAAATTCGGTTTGCATCGTCGACCAAGGGATAGAAAATTGAATAATTCAATTCGAAGAGGAACAAAAATGCAGTCCAGCTGGAAGGAAGGTGTTACGAAACTTCACAGAACATCATCTCTTATGATGATTTTTCATAGCTGTAAGAGCGTTCCTTTTAAGTGGGTATACTAGAAAGGCAGTTAAAAATGAAAGTCTAGCCCTAGTCGTTCCTCTCTATGAGTTCTGAAAAGTTCGGAAGGTGCAAATATTTAATTTGAAGCCGATAGCCCGCGCCAACTTCGTTGAATTGAGCAATATTGCCTGGACTGATGCAATTACCTCTCCGCCCTCACCGAGGAACTTTCAAAGCGAAACTAATCATGGTTCCCGCATGCAACATCCAACTTCCTTTCCCTGGAACAGAACAGGAACAGTGAAGCAATCCTCAGCTCCTCATTATTATATTACAGAACGCATTTTATCGACTTCTTCCCCTATGTTCCTCTCACCAAACTAAATTCTTCTGAAAAGTGAACTCATGATGGTCCCGTGGTCCCTCCTTGTGTTGGCCAGTTTCCAAACGCATGATAGATACGCGACACCTGATTGGCTTTGTGTAATATCGGGTAACACATTATGTGCGCATACAACACGACGCAACACATATGTCATCTCAACAATGACTGCTCGCCCTAAGAAGCCGCAACTGCTTCAGAGAAGAGAGAATTGAGACAGATTGAGACATGATTAGATTGAAAAGTGATTGTTTGCACAAATTTTCAGCGGTCACGAAATAAGAGATCTAGGTGCACTAGGAAAATTCCACTCTGACATTCCTTCAACTAAAGTCAAGCTAGTAGAGAACCTGTGCTACTAATCTAGAAGTATAAAACGAACAAAGTGATATTCTAAATTCATGAATGGTAGATTCAGAGTTTACTTCTTCATCGAGATGCAAAAAGTTTCATAGCAAGCAGGCAGCGGTGAAACTACCATAACAACATATTGCCTTCACGAAGAAAATGGCGGAACACGGTCCATTTAACAGGTGAAACAAAAGTGAACTTTACGACACCAATTCTATTTCACATAGTTTTCTCACATCAATTCATGACTCATTCCATATTTCTGGAACGCCATACGGGCAGCAGATGGATGGACGTCTCTACATCATTACGATAAAAGCCTCCACCGACGTCGCATAAATACGTGAGGCCGAAATAGCCCGCTTTACCGTGAGAACATTAGTTGGAACCATTATTTACACGTATGAGTGCCAGACAACATAATTCAGTTACATTACCTGGGTTGAAATCATTGCCACATTAGCCTCTACTCATCAAAAAAGTTGAGATCATTCACTATATAAACAGATGGCTATTTCTCTTGCACAGCGCTCACACAGGTAATTCTATCCTCCAGCAATTATTCGTGCTCTACGCATCGAAGGCCATCAATTAAAATTCGTTCAAGCACAAAAAATTACTCTTTACTATTTACCCGAACTTTATCTTGCTTCATGGATATTCACGATTCTTAACATTCTGTGCATTCCTTGAGCCATTTGCACAGTAGTTCAAAGCTCACGTCCCAATTAAATGAGCGAACGGGAGAGATAATTGCACGCAGTAAATCCATATTTACGTCTTCACGCAGAGATAAGCACGCCATTAAAGCACTTTGCGGAAGGAGAGGGAAAGAGAGAAGAGACAGCTCCTAGTGTGAAGTTCAGCTCTGGTGAGAATTGGCATAAAACCGATTCGAAGTATTCACCAAGAAAGCAGACTCATAAAGCAGATAATGAAAGCGTGCACTCTGAAAAATTACCATGATCGACTTGTTCCTCAGAGGCATTGAGGGCATCGCATACGCTTTGCTCCCTCGAATCCCGTCCATTATGGGAAACAGTTGAGGCAAGACTGACATCATCTTTGCTAAAAAAGAAATTCCTTAGAAAATTGCTAGGAGGAAAGCCAAAAAAGGCGGTCACATTAGCAATGAAGGCACGAAATATCCTAGCCTCTTATGCCATTGTCACGTGGTGAATAAACAAATCTACAATAATGAGTAAAACAAAAGGAAAGGTTGCATAAATCTCGACTGCAATCATGAAAAATGTCAAATACATATTTTTGTTAGAAAACATCAACTCACAATCCTTCCTTGAGCAGTTGACTTGAAAGTAGTAGCATTAAATTGCATTGCTTTAATTGAGGAATAAGCGGTCGGAGCTTCAATTTAAGCTCAGACTTCTGATCAGCAAAATCCATAATGAAAAGGCGAATGTTGAGCGGAACAGCAGCTATAGGTCTCCTTCTTCCTTTAGAAGTTACCTCTTCCACAACAATGGTCCACTCCTATAAACTCACAAGTATTGATCATTAACAGAATTCGAAAATGAAAGAAACCAAGAAAAAGCCGACCTTATCATCAAATTGATCGTCATGTTGGGATTTGTAAAGTGTTGTTAAAATATCTATATGTTCTGCTGCCTGCTCTGGCCACATAATTACTGTTTGATCCGGATTTGAAAACGATTCTTCCCATTTTCTTTCTTTCGAGCTGATTTTCCTTCGCCTGCAAGGAAAATCATCACTCATGATTACTGCGTGCAAGTCAAGCCGAACACTTCTATCTAGAAGCAGAAATAATAAGATCTTTCAGTTTATGTACGCTGCCCGGCAGCCTCTCCTTGCCTGTCCTCATTCCTACCCGTGTGATCACATACACAAATACGGAGGAGCTTCGAAGTGAGTATATGGTGAGAATACAACGAGTACGCAGGAAAAGGGATATGAGATGTTTATTGGGAAGAGCAGAAAAAGACGAGCACGCTTGATGGGATAACACCATATTCTTTACAAATGATCTCTTCTTATAAGGTATCCTAAACAGTACAGCCGTGTAGGATGTTCCTAAAACACTTGAGCGTCGTTGCTTAGGGGCACCCATTTTGCTAAGAGAAGACCTACGCAAGCTTTCTGCGCGAAAGCCATAAATACAAGGATCACTCACTCGAGAAGAGCCTTTTTAGTGAGCTAAATGTGCAATTGGGTAAGACCTCGAGAGCCTGCTTTGACTTGTGCGAATTTAAATAATAGAAAAATCAGCTAGAATCCGAAAGTACATCGACAAACACAGCACGATAGCTAACGCAGAGTCAGCACTGAAAGCAAAACGTTCGAAACTTCGATAGCGGGGCCATGTCAGATGTTCCGATTTACGCGAAGCCAAGCACAGATTCGCCAGGATTCCGACTTAGGGAGATGGGGTTTCAGCGACTGCACGATGGTTGCTGAACGATTAGCGGACATTTAGCCTTTACGTTGGGTAGACTTTCTGGTATATCGCGCAGCTAACATGATCTTCTGTCTCTTAAGGGTACGCATCAAACGACCAAGACCCAAGGTCGAAGGCAACGAAGATATGTCAGACCATTCAATGTTTAACTCGTACTTCGAGTCGTCGAGAGAATATGCGATATTGTAAAGAGAACTGCCCCGTAGAGGTTGAGCGGCCGATCACATCCCATTCCCTCCACCCAAACATGGCCTTGCTCTTTCGAAAATCAGCCGGACGGGAGGAAGAAACCTCCAACATTAATGTCCTACTATGACTACCTTCTCC